ATCTGGGATCTTAACTTGTTCTAGTTGCTTCCTGTAGCCTTCCCAATCTGCATTTTGCATTTGGAAACGTGGGGTTGTTGGTACTTGGATTGGGCTTGTAGATAGTTTTATTATCATTGGAATGTGGTCACTGGTAGTTAGTGGTCCTTGTTTTATATGTTCATTCAGGAAGGCCTTGTTATTGGTGAAGACTTTGTCTGGGGTTGTTGTTTTGTTAATGCCAATGAATGTGGTGAAGTGTGGTCCTAGGTGGATCAATTTCCCTGTGTTCATTATGGTATGCAGTGCAGTGCTCACCCTGTTTCTGTTTCCGTGGCCGAATATTGGATGTTTTGGGTTCAAATCTCCTATTATATATTTTGGGCAGTTGTAATTCAATAGTTTTATCAAGTCTGGGGCCGGTAGGTAGTTCCTTCTTGGCGGTAAATATGCTGTGGCTATTGATATTTCTCCAAGTGTGGTAGTTATTTTGATTCCCAGGAATTCGTCCTCGAAATCGTCGATGATTTGATGTTTGAGTCTGTGTTTTACAGCAATGGCGACGCCATCATTTAATTCTTCTGTTTTATTTCTTTGGTAGGTTGTATATCCAAATATTTTTATTTTCTTGGAATTTGAATTGCCGTGACTATTTATTAAAATTATGTCCGGATCAATGCTGAGGTATGTGTTTGCAAGGTTGATTTTATTTGTTTCCCAGTTGCGGACTTTGTGTTGTATGATGGTAAGTCTTCTGTGTTTGTCGTTATTCATTGTGTTTTGATTTTTTGTTTCTTGTTTGTTGTGCGGGTGGCGATCTCTTGTCCGGAACCAGTCCGTTAGGGATTCTTTGGAATTTCCGTTGTTCTTCTTTTTTGAAGTTGTGTCTCCTTATATTAATTCTTTGGTTTATCAGGTAAGCTTCTACTAGTGTTTCAGAGTAATTATCGTTAGAGTAAGTCCATTTTAGATCTTCTTTCGTTATGGCTTGTATAATGTCTGGCATCGTTTTGCATTCACTAGGGACTAATAATAATTTGTCACACCAGTGAATCTGTAGTTCACAGTCGTCTGCATATTCTAAAGTCTGGAGCGTTTCCTCGGCCTGGGTATCCATGGTTGCTGTTGTGACATTTTTTCCTTACGGCACCTGTCTACTTTGGATGGTATTTTGAAGGTCCTGCCTCTCTACTGTACTTTGGGTGGATGTTTCGATCATTTGTGACTTTGCCTTGCCAGCTTCGTTTGTTTCGTGTACTGTTGCGGCTGGTGTTTGGTCTGCTGCTCCTTTTTCTTCTGCGTTGTCTGTCTCCTGTGGTGCATCTGGGTTGGTTAAGCAGGATGCTTGTAGCACAGATCCGGAAGCTGGGTTAGCTGGGAAACTCATTGTTGGGAGATTGTTTCTTCCAAGCATTTTGTTCATCTCTATTTCGAACGTGCCTGGGTTCCCTATGTTCATTATATGAGAATATAATAGGCAGATGAGCACTTTGTAGTCTCGTATTTCGCTCAGTACAATTTTGTTGGTATTCTGTGGTAGTGTTGTTTCTTCAACTACTTTCTTTGCAATAGCAGCATATGTTGTATTCTCCTTCTGTTCTTGTTGTTGTTTTTCCGTTGCTACTTTTTCATTTATTATTTTCTTTTTGTATGGACAGGCCATTGCTAGGGTTCTGTGGGTCTTATATCCTGGCTCCTTCCGATTTTTACAGTTTATACATGCTTTGGCTTGGTTCTTGCAGTCCCGGAAGGTATGGCCTTCATCTGCGCATTTAGAGCATATTTTAAGTTCCTTTTCTGGACAGTCTTTTGTTGCATGAGATTCATGTACATAGCAGATAAAGAAGGTGAGAATATTAACGTATTTCTCCCTTTCTAGTTGTTTAGGGAGTACTGACATGTTGAACCCTAAGATTCCAGATTCCATTGAAGTATCAGTGAATCTCAACTTTAAGTAATGTGTGTATTGCTTTATTTTTACTACTTCTTCGACTTTTAACCAGTTACTTTTATTTCTAGTTCTTCTATTATTTCTTGTGCCGAGTGCTTTCCAAATTCGTAGTCAAGTCCACGCACAAATACTGATCTTTTTGCTTTAACCACTGGTGGCATGATGACCTGGAGTCCTATGCCTCCAAAGGCTTGCATTCCTTCGGGGCACAGAATGGTATCTGCATCCCTGCATATTGCAGTGTATCCATTATTCGATGCGAAAATCCTTGTGGAGGGTGCATTGAGTGTACCATACGCCATTTCAGTTATCGGAGAACGTGAAGGGGCTGTTCTTCTGTCTATGATCTTGAGTCTAACCTTAGTAGCCATGGTTTATTTGGTTATGTCTTCCTGGCATGTATTAATTGTGGGTCACGAAGAAGGTTATTCAAGACCCTTCTTAGTGTGCCTATAGGCGACCCCCGGACAGTGGTGTAACTGCGCTATCACTGTTTTTCCACTGCCGGATTGGCCTATGTTCCCCCGACCTCCAACGGACAAACACAACCTCACCTACTGTGAGGTGTGCTTCACTGGAGGGGATCTAGCACGAATACTTAAATAAGCAGGTGCCTCGGCCAGGGTAAGTAAGGAAGGATTTCAGCAAGAGAGAAAGACCTCAAACCACGTCAGTACTGCCAATCAATAGCTGCCCTCCAGCAGGAGTGTGGGTCACTCACTCTACCCGTGGGGAGGGCTAACTAGGGTTGACAATTCTGAACGCTCGTGAGGTAGTCCGGTGGCAGTCGTGGTCGTTTTCCTAAGGCGGAGGCCCACAAGGGGCGTTGCCCCAAACAGGATATCCGGGAAGTCCAGTGGTAGACAGAGAGGTCGAGTTGTGGTCCGGTCGTCAACAGTAGAAAGAAGGCTGGCTGCTTTGGCGGTGAGGGGTCTGAAGAGAGGTCCGTTCACGATCCGATCCGATGGGATAGAGAGAAGAGAGCCTATTGGCTCAGGAAGATGGAAGACGGTGTAGGAGGAATGTAAAGGTTGGGAAGTGGGAAATAAAGAGGGAGATTGATAACAGGTGGACTGTCCACCTTGCGGGGACGAGGTTAAATCTGCCATGCCAGCAGTTCATGTTCACTACAGCAAGGGAAGGGAAGCCAAGCTAATCTAAGCTAAGGTAGATTGTGGTGTTTGGGGAGGGGGGCCCCTCCTTGTCCTTTAAGTATTCTTCGTTTTTATTTAGTGTATATTGGTTCTGGTTCTGTGTTGTCAAATGTTATGTTCTTTTGCCATCAGTTGTGTGTTCTGGAAATGTCCAAAAGGCTTTTCTGTTCACTGCCATGCAGGACAGAGGTTCATACACAAAAAATACATCATATTTATTAGCAGTATATATAGGTCAGAGTCATGTGGGTGATGTCACTGTTCACTGCCATGCAAGACAGTGATTCATATACATTGGAAGTCATATTCTAATTGAAGACTAATCAGTGTGGGCTAGCGAATTTGGGATAAACAGCAAGAATGTCCTCAAGCACCCCCGATTCAATGTAGTAACTACAAAGTTCATGATACAATAAGCCAGGTGGCCTGAAGACTTTGACAGTGTCACATTCAATAATATAGTGTTCAAGTGTTTGCTTTAAAGGTTTAGCACAATGTTTACATGCTGAGTGTTCCGGTATGGGTACAGCGTTACTAACGTGCCAGATGTGTCTGTATCCTAGCCTAATTCTGGCCATGACTACATCACGTTGTCTGGTTCTGTCCTTATGCTGGCCATACTGGTACCTCTCGTCACAAAATTTGTCATATTTACTAATGCTACAACTGCCACGTCTCTCAGCATTTCTCAGTTCTTCTAAATCAGAGTTCATGAATCTGACTTGAATGTTTTAAAGTACAGCATTGGACAGGTCAAGGTCACGGTCAAAATTTTCTTTCTTACATGCCTCATTAGCCAGTCTATCGGCATGGTCATGATACCTAATTCCAACATGGAACGGAATCCACACAAATTCGATACGAGAGTTGTTCTCATTGGCAGTTATCACATTTCTTTTAATATCACATACAACTTAAGACATAGAACCTGACGGGCTGTTCATTGATTTCAAAGCACTTTGAGAGTCACAGAATATCACCGCACCTCCATTTTCTTTAAGGTAGTCTGTAGTTAAGTAGTTTCCATTTAGTTCAGTTTGTGTTGTGCTGGCCCAGTTGTTCAGCCTTTGCTTGTTTGACACTATCATCTCTTTTTCTTTACATATTACAATTGCACAGCCTGTTCTACCTGTGTTTGTCTGCACAGAACCACCAGTAAAAGCATAACATTCACTTGATTTAATACTCTCTATTTGTCTGTTAATAGTTTCATGTGTGACACATCTCATCACATCGCTATTTAACATTACTACCAACAGGAGTGTAATTAATAGGAACTGATATATCCAGCCAAGGAGGAATGACATTAACGAGTTCGTCTGGGGTGATTGGGACATTCAGTTTCAAGAGATCTGCAACACTTTTATGGAGCCACGCCCCAAAGACAGCCTTTTGTGGAAAGTTAGTGAGACAGTAGGGATTACTTAGATAGAACATCAACTCAGTTTGAGCTGTAGTTTGGGGACCATTGTTCTTCAAAACTTTGACACAAAACATGGTATTAAGTAGAGCTATCCTCTCAGTACCTAAATTTACACTTAGGGAAGTGAAGTTGGTCGAATGCCGTGGTATTAGTAACCTTGTGTACCTGAAAAGACTTATTTTCATGCCCATAGTACTAATCTGTCTGAGGATGGTGTTTTTAAGTATAGTTATAAATATACAGCGTGTATTTCATCTATATTGTTATAATATTGATTTCCAAAGATTTTTTTTAAGTGAATACGGCGTCACATGACTTAAACTGACACAACACCAGTAGTTTGAGTGTGCCACACTCACACAACTGATGCCTAAGGTTGACTCATGGACGGGAGCGCATTCCACTTATGATAAATAATATAGCGTAGGGAAGTGCGAACGTGAGAGATAACGTAATAGGGATTACATGTCACACAAGACCGGTCCTCCAACAGGCTAAACGTGGTACCAGTGGTGTACGGTCTAGGCAATTACTCGATGCTGGCGCCACCTCACTCCTACATCGACGCCCTCAGCTTCCCCACAGCTAAGGCCCTCGCCGAGTACCTCATCTACCTGGACAAAAACGACACTGCCTACAATGAGTACTTCAGGTGAATCCTAGTTTAAATCCTTCCTAGGTCTAAATATGACCCCATCGTAAACACTTAAAAGACTCTGTCAAGGTTTGCAGTGCGTCCCTCCCCCCTCCCACTCTTTATTCTATTATTGAGTTGAATTTATTTTATGTAATTCACACCTTCATTGCACATCTACTTGATATTTACTGTTTCTTTGCAATATTACTCCCAAAACAACGTGAAATATGCTGGGGGTGGAATGATTTGCTAGATTACAAACAGAATAAACCGAGTACAGTACAGTACAGTACCTCTTTTCCTGTACTTATATCTGTGGCTTTACTTGTATATGTGCCTATACCTATATGTGTTTATGTGCTTGTACCTGTCGTGTTGTATCTAGATCATTGAAGATGTTTGTATTTTCTCCACAGATGGAAACGTTTTCATTGGATTCCTCACCCTTGGGCGAATGAAGCCAAGCCGTACTGCGATTTGTGTGAGCGCCTCCACCAGGACAACACCACCAAAGTGTACAACCTGCAGCAGTGGTTTGTCCAAGACTCTCACTGCAAGTCCAGCTACAGCAAGGACATATCTTTGTTCATAAACGGGTATATCAAACGATGGCACACAGAAATTATCCCTGTAGTGATAATTTTCGTAATTTTTCTCATATTCGTCGGCATTTCATTTCCGAAGTTTTATATCAGACGCAATATATTCCGTAAACATGGAATATAGAATGAATTTCATAGTTCCAGGTATAAATTTTTCTCCGTGAAAAAGAACAAGTCCACAAAAGAAGTCCTAAATCACACGCTGTTCATATCGCCACAAATATTGTATTTGTTTCAGAATTCTTAGTTGCTTATAATGGAACTACTTGTTGATTATGAAGATAGTGTCTAATAAATTCAGTAACATACTGTATAAGTCTTTGTTCTCGAGACAACGTCGACTTCAGGGTTACTGACGTGATTCCAACAACTCACTCAGTGTATGTTGTATTATCGTGCTAGGGGAAGCAATTATCAAAACAAACTATGTTTTATTTATCTATAAATGTTAATGACGTGTGTGTGTGTGTGTGTTTGTGTGCATTTACCTAAACTACGCGCTTGAAGAGATTACTCATATAAACGTAGTTGTAACCGCCCGATGAGCTACTGTGGAATAATGGGACCCTTGCACCCGGAAGTGCTTCTGTCGCCGCCGGAGTGTCGGGAGATATTCTTTCACTCACTTCTTCCAGAACTGGTCTGCAATGAATTGGGCATGCTTCCATTTTCGTCGGTACGCTTCTGCTATGGACTGATCGCCTCCAGTGGGCAGGGTTCCCGCATGCATTCGCGGCTTTGGGTTCTCTGGCCAAATTCTGCTCCATGCAGTCCACGCCTGGCATCATGAGCTGGGTTTTGGTTGGAGCTCACGTGTCTCCATTGTTCTGCGTCAGAATTCTCATGTATCGTTGCATTGCGGTTTGCCAAAATGGTATGGAAGCGCCGTTCAGTGTTTCGTATGTATTGAAGGGTGACCATGCTGTCTGTCCAGAACACTGATCTGTCGATCTGCAACTCTAGTTCTTCTCTCAGTTGTTTGTCTGCTTTGGCCGCCAACACTGCCGCACATAGCCCGAGCCGAGGTATGGTTTGCTGTTTCAGAGGAGCTAGCTTGGCTCTGCCACACACAAAGGAGGTAGAGTGGGCTCCATCTCCACTTGTGATCCTGAGGTAGCATACAGCCCCGTATGCTTGCTGGGAGGCGTTGCAGAAGTGGTACAGTTGTACCATAGTTATTGGATTTGCGCATTCAGGGTGGTAACATCGAGGGATGCGTACTTGAGACAAGTGGGGTTAGTTCATTTAGCCACTGCCGCCAAGCGGCTCTGTTGAGTTTGGTCATTTGCTCATCCCACCCGAAGCCTCGCCTGCACTCGTCCTGGAATTTGATTTTGGCTTGTATGGTGCTCGGAGCGATAATTCTTAATGGGTCGTATATGGAGCTGACCATACTCAGGAGACCTCGCTTCGTTTGTGGCTTCGTTGGGATCTGGATTCGGACTGCAAGTTCGTCATTCTCTTGATCCCACGTGATTCCCAATGCTCGCTCAGCTGGGAGCCTGTCATCCTTCAAAAGTACTTCTTTCACTTCCATGGCTCTTTTCGTTTGTTGGACTATTATGAGGACCACTTTGTGGTTGCAAATCCATTTTGTAAGTCTGAACTCGCCTTTCTTCATCAACTGCCTCAGTTGGTGAGTGACTATCGCTGCCTTCCCTGGTGATGCTACTGAAAGAAGCAGATCATAAACATAGAAGTTGCGACTTGCTTTCTTAATTTCTTCATGGAGCCTTTGTCTGTGGTCTTAGAATGTTCGTCGTAGTGCATATCCAACACAAGATGGGCTCCACACTCCCCCGAAGAGATGTACCTTCATTCGGTAAGTGGCCGGGTCTCCCGATAGTTGGTCGTCTGTCCACCACAGGAAGCGCAAGGCGTCTTGATGCTTAGGCAGTACTCGTACCTGGTGGAACATAACCTCGATATCAGCCATGAATGCTACCCTTTCGTGTCGGAACCTAATGAGGACTCCCATCAATTTGTTGTTGAGGTCTGGCCCTTGCATCACTTGGCTGTTCAGGGACACTGACTCATATGTTGCTGCACAGTCAAAACTATTCTCAACTTCCCGGGCTTATTTTGGTTCAATACTGGGTGATGTGGGAGGTACCAGGTTTTACCCCGGCACAATGGTAAGCTCACGGTGTGGGACTCTCTCAGTATGTCCCTTGTTGATCAGGTTTTGCATCTCTTCTCGATATCTATGGCGGAGGTCTGGGTCTTTCAGGAGACGTTTCTTTAAGCTCGCTAACCGTTGCTCAGCTAGTTTCCTGTTATTCGGGAGTTCCGGCTCTTCATGACGGAACGGTATGGGAAGTTGATAGTGCCCGCCCACTCTCGTCACTGAAGTTGACCATAGCACCAGGACTCTTCTGTCTCTAAACGTGTCTCCAGGCTCAGCGGCTTTTCTGAGATGAGGTGGTTGAATGATAGGTGGTCACTTATTGCAGGTCCAATCAGTCCATTTATGGTCCATCCTAGAAGTATGCTCACCGCGAACGGCTTTCCGTTCTCCCCGGTCCTTACTTCTAACGGTGTCAGGGCTTGTGTTACATCTAACCTTATCAGAAGATCCACTCTTTCCGGTGCGTGGAAATGTGTGGTTCCTTGGAGGTGCCTCCATTTGGCAACAGCTCTGGTGTTCACAACCGATGCTTCCAGTGAAGAAGGCAGGTCTTTAATAACGAGGATTCTGGGAATGTTGATGGATCGACTTCTTCTCACTCCGACGCTAGTCACCTTCAGAACGATCTCTTTGACCTTCACGCTCTTCGTCTCCTTCAGGATCGTGCCTATGGAGACTGAAACAGACTTCTCTGTTATTTGTAGTCTGTTGGTTAGGCTCTCAGTGCAGTAAGACCTGTTGCTGCCTGAGTTCAAGAGTGCTCCGGTGATCACTGTTGTATTCGTTTCTCGCCTTATCTCCCGGACTTTGACCTTTAATATGGGGAGTGCAACTCCGCCTGGATCTGCTCTAATCATATGTCGTAATCTTCGTGCCCCTCGCACTGGTTATTTTCTCGATCGTAAGTATTTCTGGCCCATTTATACAAGTTTTCTCGGTTCGTGGTCACTAATGCAACCTTCTTGTTTCGAGCCCTTTTCTCCGTAACTCTCGAGCTGGATTCGGGTTTCCATGGCCTAGCTCCACTGGTCGTTGATTTCTGTGCCGACATGATGGCCTTGAGTTGACAGTTACCTAGCTTTTGCCGCTTGTGGTTGGGCGACACTTCTGACTGGTGTGCATCCATGTTGGAAGCTCTTTCCATCCCTTAAAAACTGGCTAAAAGTTCCTTTCTTGATGGTTCGTCCTGGTTTGGCGTGTTATTGAGCATAGAATTTCTCGAGAAGTGCAGGAGATTCGAGTGGAAGCTATAGCAGCCATCTATGCAGCACCTTGTCTTCTGGATGCACTTGGCCATCCGGTGAGTGCGATCTAAGCAGGCAAAACAGCGACGTTCTTCACGTATGAATGAAATTCGCGCTCCAGTCGACATGTTGAGGAATGCTTGGCATCTCTGCAGAGGGAGATATCCAGGGCACAACAGGCAAGTGCTGTCGTCCCTTCCTCTAACCTCCTCTCTTCCCGAAGTCACTATGCCCACAGGTCTCCTTTCTGATGAGGAAGGGTATGGGTGTGAGCCTGTTCATGTACTGTTCGGCTCTTCTTGTCTTTGTCCCCTCGAAGCCCTCCTTGTCCTGTCTAGCATCTCCAGTAGAAAATCCTTCATCCACTCGACCCCTGGAAAATTCCCGTGTCTCCTTTCATAGTCATATGCTCAGCATATGACTATGAAAGGAGACACGATAGAGCATATTATGCTCTATCCTCATATCGCGCCCTGATCTTTCCTGTGAATCTCTTAGCCAAAGTATTCAGTGATTCGTAAGTGTCAATTTCATGCAGTTTTCCTAGCACCTTTAAGTTGCTTACGCAATTTCCAAGATTGTCCGCGAGCTCCTGAAGTCTTTTAATGTCATCTGTTCTCACGGCTGGCCCACGTAGGACCTTGCCTATTAGTTCTTGGATGTAGGATTACTTGTTGCCCTGGGATCTTCTATTTGCAGGCACACTCTCAGGGATTTCTTAGTGCGGCCGATGTAGGCCGAGAGAAGTGTTTCCAATTTTAGTGCATAGTGTATGGACGCCTCCCCATTGTGTCTTTGGAAGGCATGCTTGAACTCCCAATACTCGTCACAAGTCCCTCCGCTGAATTTTGGCATCGGCCATTAACTTTTCCAGTCTCTGGGTTGGTAGCATCGTGTCCGATGGCCTCCCTTCCATCCGTCCTGGGCGTTCTCACTATATATCTTGTACTTTTTTTTCCTTCTCCTAGGTTCCTGTTGGTGTCACTGCTTCCGGAAAGTGGGTATGACAGGTGGAAACATGTTCCCTCTCCCCCTGAGGAGATGTTCGCGACTCTGAGGCGCTGAGTGTTGGGAACCCTCCTTGGGTGGGAGTCTAGGTGTAGCAGTTAGACACTCCTGGTTCTGGCGGTTGACAATATGTATCTCATGGATACCTCGTCGCGGCTATCATCCCCTCACTCGTTTCCAGAAAAGGTTTTCCTCCTGGGAATGATAGCATCTCACCAAAGTCATCCGTATCACCTAAAGTCTGCAGTTGCTCCATATGATCTTTCATATTCTGCATCATTGCCGTCAATTGGGTGAGCGTCTGCTGATAACCCCCGATTACCCTATTCTTCCGGCCTGTTGGTTTCATCCTTCTCTTGGGTGAAAGGGTTTCTCCACTTCGCCCTGACTGTGTGAGTGACCAACTAGCATCTCCGTCGTTCAGGGCCTCCAGGTCTTCTAGGCTAGCTAGGCTTATCTCCTCTGCCGTGTTCCCTTCCATGACTGGTGGCACAGTGAACTCGATTTGGCTCTTTCGGTGGACAGTTATAGATACGTTCGGTTAAGCCGGAATGCTCTTCAACTGACGCGCCTGCTCGTTTATAACGATGTCACATGACTGAGATCATACAAGAGATGTCATACAACTGAAGTCATATAAGCGATGTCATATAATTGAAGTTATATAAGTGATGTCATACAACGGAAGTCATGTAAGCGATGTCATACAACTGAAGTCATATAAGCGATGTCATACAACTAAAGTAATATAAACACGTGCATTAAGCACGAGCGAAGTCACACTAACACGACAACAGAGGCACCACAATCAGTGTAGGGATTCCTTACACAACTGCTAACATCATAAAACTGATGCCACAAACACTACTGTGCCCTTACTCACAACGTTCCTTAACTGTCACAACTACTATTTTCTAACAGAAAGGGCAACTCACTCGTTCTTAAATTTTATTTACAATTGGAGATGCAGTCTGGTTGTATGCTTTGAACACTATCTCTCCCGCGTGTACATGAGAATGTAAGTGACACAGAGTACACTCTTTCCTCACACGCGGTCCTCGCTGCTGGTGGCATTTCGATCCGGATTGAACGATAACACTCCTGCACGCCTGTTCGAACAATTTTGGCACCGAGACCAGTCCTCTCTGACACTTGACCCACATACAGAGGTGTCACATTTCTCTACGTACACATATGAGTGCTATACACAAACTCAACCCACAACCCCCTTTTCGTTGGGGTTAACTATTATTATATTATAGGCATCACACTTTAGTTGATGATTCACAAATTCTCACATAGGCATCCCAGCTCTCCTGCTGTGTAGCTGCCTGGTGCTCCGGCGCCGGAAGGAAGCTCCCCGCTGAAGGTCCATCGACGGTTGAGTCACTCGCCAGTTCTCGGTAGATTGTATCGGCAGACTGTAGTGTCATGGTCACAATGGCACTGCTGGTCTGTTTGAAACCTGATGATTCATATTATGCTTCACGCCCTCAAAACATGTGGATAACTGGTGAGTTATCCCTAGGAAGGGATTTTCCCTAGCTTAGGTGCCGTCCATTTTCTCTGACTTTCTGAAACCAACCTATATAAAGTAAATTTGAATGTGAGCGAGAACACCGTTGTTTTGCACCAACTTAGATATGTCTGATTACAGTTAAAGCATTCAAGATCCGTTGTGAGTGATGTTGAAAGCTTCAACTGTCTTTATAGTTAGTAACACTTATCAAGTAAGTGAGGGTCGAGTCTGCCAGTATGAATGACATCCCGTGATATCGTCCTTGGGTATAGCCGTGAATTTCCAATTGTTACTGAAGTTAGATTATTTTGATGCCCAAACCTCAGAGAATCTGATATTTGGAGTTTGATTATTGTCAGTTGTCTATTTAAGAAAGTAATTAATCTCCTGAAAAGAATATGTCACACTCTTATCTCCAAGATCTCAACGTTTACCCATAGAAGGTCCTTGCCTAGAAATCCCAATTATGTTGTGAGAATGACGTTAACAGCGTGTGTATTTGACATCCATTTCACTTCTTCCTGGCAAGCCCAATCTCTGATTAGATTATAAAAATAGACGTAAGAAATTCACCTGACCCATGACTGATTTTCATAGTTAAATGTTCAGCAACTGAGTTGAATGTAATTTCTGTCATTGAGTGATTAGCCTTTCTGGCATGTGTAGTGCAGAGGACTGAGTTGCCATTTAGCTGTATATAAACTCGTGTTCGAGGAGAAGCGTCACATCTCTGACGCTGTCCCATCATATCTCAGGTATGTGTATGTTCTCACGCCCGCTATATGAAGTCAGTTAAACTTAGTGAATTTTGTGAATATCAGTGTTCATGTTGTAACAGTGAAATTATCATTTACCCAGTGAGAGAATTAATGTAGTGTAAATATCGTCTGTCATTGCCAGACGAAAGATTGTTTGTGATTGAGTTATTTTTCACATCTCTGACGCTGTCCCATCATATCTCAGGCACAGTGTGTGTGTTAGCTGAATACCTGACAGACACAGGGAGGCCGGTAGCTGCACACCAGCTGGCTGCCTCTAGGATGTCGTTAATTCAGCATGATTAATTTGTGCGAGTCCGCACCCTGGTGACTTGGCTCGAACTACCTCGCTGTGTGTCGGACTGTAACCGACCCAAACAGCGCTCTTTGTTTGTCGTGGTGACACCACTGTGACACCCTGGTGCACTCCTTACAGTTATATGGGCCAAAGTATTATTGTTGTATATGATTGGGGATAATTAGCAGAAATATAGTTATTCCATGTTGAGAAGCGAACTCATAAATACTGATAGTACCAGTAATAACGTGTTATGTGTTGTGAATTGCATCCTCCATATGTACTACCAACTGAGTTCTAGTGAAGGTACCATATGTAAGCTTGTCATGTTGTGTGTTCTTTTAAATGTACAACCAGTAATGATGTAAGAAGCATGAGTATCTAATTGAAATTGCAGATGAGTAAAGTCAAGGAGTTGATCCTTGTAGTTGTATGTTAATGACATCTTTAACCAGATTTAATTTCATATTCATAAACCATTTTTAGAGTATGATAGAGGTATCATTTTCCCTCAGTATCTACCTTTATTCTTGTCCAATAGCTTGATACCAAAATTACTTAACCCATGTGCCCAAACCCTTGCCATGCTACCAAAGGTCAGAGGTTATGAAGTAACTATAGGAAATGAAATAATTAGACAGAACTAATGGAGAAAATGAATGAAATAAGGAAAAGAAAAGAAAAGAAGAAAAGAAGAAAGCCTCCACCCTTATAAATGGTTTGCAGCAGTGGGATTGTAATTTAATATATCAAGTTGGGAAGAATGAATGTGATACTGTGGGTGTTTTTTAACTGTCATTCGTAATAACCATTTCTCTAAACAGGTACCTAATAACCATTTCACTGTAACAAATGAGTATTTCAGATTGCTAATATTTTGTTACGTATTTTTCCATTGTACAGTATAGTATGTTATTCTGTGATATTTAAGTAGGGACTTAAATTATTTCATTTGGTAGTAATTTTGTTCAGTGGAAACAGTGTTAAGGAAATGTACAGATTTTTTTTTTTTGGTTTTGCCGAGAAATTGAAATAACAGTTAAGAGTAAATACTTCACTTGAAGTTAGGTAAGAACAATTGCCTCAAAGAAAAATAGAAATCTTGTTTAAAGTAAATTGTACTTGTAATGCTGTTGTGTAGAAACATGAAATATTCAGAGTAATGGTAATTGTCTGAAAAACAAATGTCAGCTACCTAACTTATATATTTTTGCATTCTTCTTTTTTGTGAAATCTCAGAAAAAGTGTTTATTATATACCAGTGTAATATTTTTTTGGTGCCTTCCTACACTGATACCATAGCAACTGTTGTGACCACTCAAGTTAATACTTTGATATTTACAGACAATGAGTGAGCAGTGAACATCTGCCGTGTTAAGAGTGTTGTGGGCAGTGTTCATTTCTGAGTGTCACCTGAAGGCCATTATTGTACTAAGGTTATGTAACTTAGTTTTATTTGTAATTGTGAAATTTATTTGATGTATTTGTTGTGGTTTCAATAGGAAGTGTTGAAATTCTCACTTGACGACATATTTTTTTTTGGCTAATGAATTTATTTTATATAACCGAGTTGAGAGTTATAAAAAAATTTGTGTGTGTATTTCATTATTTTTTCTGTGCTAGTGACCTTGTGAACTAACTAGAAAGTTTTTTAGTTCTCAGTCTACTTCAGTTTATGACATTTGAATTTATTGATATAACACGAGTTTAGTGTTATATTTTCTATTATTGTATTTTTGTGTTGTTTTTATTAGCTAATAATTTTAGTGCATAGGGCATTAGTTTCTAGCAGTGTAGACGTACAGACATTGTCAGTAAGTGTACTATATGACTATTTGAGAACAAATACATGTATAATTTCAGCAATTGCATTGATTGGGTTGGAGACTGTGGTGAAATGGTCGCCTAAAAAGAATACAATCTTTGAAATTGGATTGTTGAAAATACATGTAAGGACCACCAATTGTGAGTCCAGCACAGAGTAATGGTGAAGTGTTAACACAGTGTTAAAATCATTGCAATTGAAAAGGACAGTGAATACTTGTTGAGTGCAGAGGAGACAGTCTCGTAAAGTATTATCAATTATTTCTGTGAGCATGACTCTCAGTAATGAAAATGTCTATGGTTCTCTTTAATGTTAGTTAATTTTCTAGAGTATTGCATTTGATTGTGTATGAGGACCTCATATGGATGCCAAGTTAATACACTCTTTGAAAATAGACTGTTGTGCAGGGTATGGACCCGCAATTGTGAGTACAGTGTAATTCGGGAAGAGTTCACACAGTGTTGCACCATACAGAGATTGTTACTAGCAAGTATCATTGTTTTGAGTATGTACTTTAAGTGTGCCCTGAAAAGTGACAAAAGAGTACAGTGATATTTTTTCTCATGTATTCACCAGTGAAGCCTTAAAGTAAAAGATCTCATATCAGTATTATCACTAGTGGTGGTGATTAATAATTTGAGCAGTATTACAAGTTTTTATGTGTATTAGAAGGTCAGTTAAGCGGTAATCCGATTGTATTTGAAGGTGCGCACTGTGCCTGTGTTGTGTAGTTAGAGTGACTTGTTGTGACCTCCAGGCATGATGGCCGTCACAAGGAGACAATTCATGGCAGACAGCTCAGAACCCGTGTCCGATAAATTGATATGTAGAGTTGAGAAGTACAGCATGAGGGTGGAGACATATTCATTCACAGGAATGACACCCAGGTCTCACAAGTTGTTTCATCAGGAGAATGGTCTGATGGACAGGAAGGTGTAGAGGGGAAGAAGAGTAAGGAATGCCTCTCTTACTAGTCAATGAGACAAATGCATCATTGTTGCCGAGATATCTTTAAAGGGTTGTAGACCTTTAAACTGGACTGCATTGGTTGTTGATGTGCACGGTGAAGTGTTATGTTTTGCAGATTTGTGTTTTACAATCTAGAGATACAACTGGAAAATGAGAGAATGTGTTGTTGCCAGTGGTGGGCACAGCTAAACGAAAAGTTAGCTTCGCTGACCGCTAATCTGCTAACTAAAAAGTTAACTTCGCTAACTTTAAACCGCTAAACAGCTAAAAACATTAGTGGAAGCTAACGCTAACCGCTAAATTTTATTATATGAATTTAGTTTCGTTTTTTTGGCTCTAAAACCCTTAAAAACAGACCTAGAGAGCTGAAATTTTCATATGTTGTCTTGTAGCTTAGACATAGAGCTTTCCAAAAAGGTATAGCATGCCAAGATCAGATGATGATCAAGGTGTACATAAATAATTAAATGAACAAATGAAATTAAACATTAGTTTACATTCAAGTTTCAACATACACTTTATAATCTTTATTTACTGTACGAAAAGACAGACAGTATTAAATGAATCGAAAAACTATAGTACTGTATAGCATAGATAGCAAATAGCATCATGGCAAGACAAATCATGTCTTGTCACGTTTACACGTACAAACACGCAGTCAGCCAAACTTGCCTGACTGGCTGTTGGAAACACGCGTTGCGGCGTCACACGCTTATAACAGACAGGAACAAACATGCATAAATTTTGTTAGCAGACTTAAAGTAAGAGGAACTAAATTTAGCAGAAGCTAATTGGTCAGCTAATGGTTTCCAAAGTTAGCGAAAACGCTAATCCGCTAACGAAAAAGTTAGCTTCGCTAATTAGCGGTTAGCGGATTAGCGGAACCGTGCCCACCACTGGTTGTTGCCTTGTATCAGTAAGTTGTGGAAAGTGAGTATGCTGTTTGCCCATGTGAGTGTCTAATGATTTTGTAAATAAATTTACGAGGGGTCAGCTAATCTGTTCCCTACACTCTTTCAAGACTCGGGGGAAAATTTCATCCGGCCCTGGGGATTTTGTCTTCTTTAGTTTATTTTTCCTCTTAAGAACATCCTCTTTTCTGATAGTGATATTCTTTAATTTCTCTTCTTCCTTTCCCCTAAATATCAGTTCCACCTCTGGAATTTCCTCGCGAATTTCTTCTGTGAAAACTGGTAAGAAGTAGCTGTTCAATGCTTTGCTTATTTCTTCACTGCCATTTATCACTTCTCCCCTCCCTGAACTTAAAGGCCCAACTTTGTCCTTGACCTTTGTTCTATATACCTGGAAAAATCACTTGGGATTCGACTTTGATTCTCTTGCTATTTTGATTTCATAGTCTCTCTTTGCTTTCCTTACATTTTTCCTAACATTCCTAGATAGTTCATTATACCTATTTCTGAGCTGCTCCTCCCCTCCCTTAAATTTCTTATATATTCCTTTCTTTATTCCTATGTCATGTTTAAGTTTTCTGGTCATCCACCTTGGCTCATTCTTATTTGACCTAATTTTTCTGTATGGTATATTTTGTTCTTGTGCTTTATGTAGCATACTAGTGAATATATTATAGTCATGATCAATTGTTGTGTCATCTATGACCTCACCCCTTCCTACTGGGGACTAACGTGACTGTTCCCAGGCGACCTCACCTAGGTACCTTCTTAACCCCTGATAATCCACCAACCAGTAGCTTGGGAGTCTGACCATAATGTCATTGTTTTTCGTTTCCCAATTTAGGGTGAACCTGATTTCTCTGTGATCACTGTTACCTAGTTCTTCCCCTACTGTGATATCTCTGATAATATTTTCTTTATTTGTTAATACTAGGTCTAATATATTGTCACCTCTAGTAGGTTTTGTAATTAGTTGTTTCAAAAAATTGTCCTGTACTGCATCTAGGAATTCTTCAGATTCATAGTCACCTACAACGTTGTCCCAGTCAATATTTCTGAAGTTGAAATCCCCCATAATGCACCGGTTGTTATATTTTGCTGCCCTACTCATTTCCTGCCATATGGGCTGAGCTGCTTCTTTCCCAAGACTTGGGGGCCTGTAAATCACGCCCACAATTAGTTTTTCTCTTCCTTCCGTGATTTCTACCCATACAGACTCGGTTCCTATTTCACCCTTTATTGAATTATTAATACAACATTTAAGTGTATCCTTGACGAAGAGTGCGACCCCTCCCCCCTTCCTACCTTCCCTGTCCTTGTGAAAAAGGTTGTACCCTTCTATGTGGTACTCTGATAAAAAAATTTTGCTCGCCAGATTCATCCAAGTTTCGGTGATTGCTATGATGTCTACATTCTCGGTACATACAACCGCTCTCAGCAAGTCTATTTTATTTCTAATGCTCCTACTGTTTGTATAATATACATTTAAACCTACCCTTCCCTGGTCCTGTTTTACCCCTTGTCCTGAGTAACCAATTTTACTTCCCAGGACCTGCTTGGTTTTTGACTCCCACTTTCCCCGACCTCTCTCTACTGGCGAAACCCCCCCTTTGGAGTGAAAATTTCACGCTCCAGGGATGCAGACAACGTCTTTACCCCGGCACGAGACAAGTGTAGCCTGTGACACTGTTGATCGGCTTGCCAAAGAAGCTACACAAGAAGAAGATATTGAAGCCACTCTCGCCCTCTCCCTGAATCATCTCAAATCTCGCATACACGCCACACAACGAGAGGCATTCAACGAAAATTGGTCACACCTGAAACAACGGGGTAGCATCACACTATGCCACTATGACGCTGTAACCCGTGACGACAACCGCCACTACAAAGAATATCAATCCCTGACTCGATCTCAACAGCTTATATACATGAGACTGCGCCTAGGGTACAGGTACCTATGGGAGTACATTGGCAACCCTGAGCCTCACCGCACTGTTTGTAAACTTTGTGGCCAACCCGACTCTCACACCCTCTCTCACTACATCCTCACTTGCCCTATGACCTCCTCCTATAGGTCCCCAGCCGTTACCAACACCTCTTCCCTCCCAGACCAGATATCCCTCCTCCTAGTCACAGGCCTGGCATTTGACATTAATTGGGACCTGCCACTCTTTGCCATAAACAGATAAAATGTACCGGGAACTTTCCACCACACACTCATCATTCTCTCACTTTGTGTAACTTGACAAAACCTATGACCCTTCAGGCTTTTACGCCCTTAATGTACGAGTCATAAAGGCAAGTATGAACTTTTCATACTTCCTTGTTGGGCGCTGTAAACGCTTCTGCGCTTCACCTTGCACAGGATGTAAGGGGGTGCCCAATAAACTAGCTATCAATGAATGCCCAACCATTGTTTGCACAATGTTTTTCCAGTCGACAATATTTATAGCAATTGTCCTGGACAGCCATTCACGACCAACCCCTCTTCTAGACAAGACACCACATACTATCGGGTTCCCTCCCCTATCTCTAATCTTCAGACATACTTCTTTGTTTTATATATATATATATATATATATATATATATATATATATATATATATATATATATATATATATATATATATATATATATATATATATATATAAGCAAGTAAATCACTGTAGGTGCACGTGATCCAGGTATATACTGATAACCACAAGGAAAAAAGAAAACACGAAGTTCCCTAGCGCTTTCGCGTAATTCACATCTTCAGGGGTGAGTACAGACTAAGGAGAAATACATAACAAGGCATATATATACAGTAGAGGAGGTGTGAGATCAAGTCCCTAGGGGACAGTGAGTGTCCACAATGGTCCGGTCACTAGGTAGTGACCCTACTAATCTTCATA